GCTGACTCTCACCTGAGGAAATTTGGATTAAACATTTATTCATTCAATAAATAGGTATCCTGCGTATGTTGTATGATAGGCAGTACAGTAAATACTTGGAATAGAGTGAGAATCAACCAGGGCAAAGTATCTATTCCCATGGCACATTCAAACAAGTAAATGAGTATGGAAGTTTAATCAGTTCTATGCTTAGAAGACAAAGAAGGTTGGACAAGAAGACAGTGTGGGGATTGTTTATGTAAGGCTGTCCGGGAAAAATCATCTATGAAGAAACCTTCGCATACATCTGAATAAAGTCCCAGATGGAGCTAGAGGAGAGTTCAGGGAAGAGCACGCAAGGATGAACCATGAGGGGCAACCAGCTCCCTAAAATGGGTGGGATAAGCTTATATAACTGGCCCTCTAATAGTACCTGAAAACACTTTCAGTAGGCTTCATTAACCATTTCCCACAGGGTTGTTGCCTGATGCCAACCATGGTCTGAAACTATTCAATGGAACATGCCAGAAATAAATAATCCTTACATTTAAAGTTGTGTACCGTTCTGAGTAGCATGATGGAAGCTTGCTTTGTTCTCTCCCATCTCACCTGGTGTTACGTCAACCTTTTGTCAAGAGTATACTCATTGTATATGATACCCCACTTGGTAAACGCTTGACAGACATATTGGTTACTAGATGAACTGTTGCCAGCCATGTGTCAGTGCTTTTACTTAAACAACCTTTTATGTGATTAAAAATGTCCCGGGAGCACAAGGGAAGTGATGTGACAGTTCATAGATGCTAAAGAGAAGAAACGGACAAAGTACTTCCTTTTCTTTTTTAAATTGAAATAGATTCTTCTCTCATACAAATATCTCAACCACATTTGCTCACCTCCACTCCTCCCAGCTCCTCTCCTCCTCCTCTCTTCCCCAGATCTACTCTCCCTGTGTTTCCTCTTCAGAAAAGAGCATGCCTCCAAGAGATGGCAGCCAAACATGACAAAACGAAATACAGTCAGGCAAGGCAAAACTCTTCAAATCGAGGCTGGACCAGGGAACCTTATCCAGGGGGGAAAGAGTCCCAATAGCAGACAAAAGAGACCTGGTCCCACAAAAACACCAAGCTAACTACCACAACTTATATGTAGAGGACTTGGTGCCGACCTATACAGACCCTGTGCTTGCAGCTTCAGTCTCTGCGAGCCCATGTGAGCCCTGCTTAGATGATCTGTGGCAATATTGTCCAGGTATTCTCCATCCCCTCTGACTCCTACAGTCTTTCCTCCCCCTCTTCTGCCGGATTCCCCGATCTCCAAGGGGAGGGACTCAGTGGAGACCTCCAGTTTAGACTCACTCTTTGAATAATGTCTGACTGTGGCTCTCTGCACCTGCTCCCTTCTGCTGCTGGAAAACGCCTCTCTGATGACAACTGGACAAAACGATCCTCCTGCCTCAGCCTCTAGCATGCTAAGATCGCAGATGTACTTCTCCAAACATACACCAATCTATATGTTGTATTTTATTTTTCACTTAGGTGTTTTCCTATTTATGTGATTAATTTCTATTTTGATTCCGGGTTGTCTAGAAGTTAAAGTTGTTTAATTCTCAGATGTTTGGAACTTTTCCAGATTCTTTATTATATTCTATTTATTTTTAGCATTATTACGATTAGAGAACCTGGTCTGTAATACATATTATTTTATAAATCTATTTAAACTGGTTTGATTCTTCAGCCTTTTATTTCAACAAATATGTGGTTGAAGAGAGTGGCAATCTTGCAATAGTTGGGGGAGAGGGTAAAGCCCTCTGTGAACGCAGATAGTTGACAGTACCTTAAATTTGAATCATCAGATCTCAGGTGACACACCCCAAGTCTGGGTCACACCTTCCCATTGCAGCCCACGTGAGGGGCAAGGAAGAAGGAAGCTATTGTTTTCCTGTTCACCCTTACTCTCACTGGGGAGTTCAGTCCTTCACTGTTATCATTCATTACTTCTTTGTAATTCTGACTCAAGACCAGCCAAGACATTCAGCCCCAGGGACAAAACGGCTACTGGATTCTTAGACTTTCTGTTGTTGGACTAGTTGAACCACGACCTGTCAGCAACTCTAATAAGGTTTGGATATATTTATGTTATCCCTTCTGTTCCTCTGGAAGTCACTTTGTAGATGAGGCTGGCCTCAAACTCACAGTGCTGGCATTAAAGGTGTGTGCCACCACCGCCTGGCTGAAATATCTCACTTTTAATTCAGCAATAGTTTTGCTGTTGACATTTTTTCCTACCATATAATATAGTCTTAAATTTCCTTGCTGGTTTCAGTATAATAAATTTGTCTCTTCTGTTTGATGCATCCTTCTCTTCATTTGCCCTAGTTTTTCCTTAATCTGCTTTCTCAGATCTCAACATATTAGGCCCAATTCTCCTGGGAGAGGTGGGGATTGGGTTATGCGGTATGGGTATGGATAACAATTTGTACCCAGTTCTGAAGCACATCCCATGTGCACCTAAGACAAACGAATGAACTTTACATGGAAACCACCCTCTCAGTAATCAAAGTGGAAATTGTCACTAGCGCAGTGACCTTGGGGAAACTCAGTTCATTGTCCCCCTTTGAAGGACAAATTCCTTCAAACGAAGAACCTCGGAGTTGGTGCTCATGGAACCGATCCAGCAGCACGCGGGGATTTGAAGGTGGTTAGCTCAGAGGCTTGGGCCACCTCTTGAGTTTGTTCTCATCCTCCAAGGGTTAGGGTTCAGTTCAGGTTAGATCTTTCTTAGTTACCAGCTTCCCGTGGCTGCTTCTTCATGGAATCCTTCCCTAAAGCAACATCCACGTTACTTTCCTTTATTAGAGGCCTTGTCACATCTTCTTTGTGATAGCTGTCACAGTTATCACTGTCACAGTTACTTAGCTGTGCTGAGTAACATCTGCCATCGTTGGCCTCGTGTCTCCCCCCCTCCATCTTTTACCCTGTTATCCCTTCCCCTTTATGTTTACACAAAGAGCTGTTAATACTAGCTCCCTGCCCGGGACCGTGAGCTCCATCAGTGTTCACAGACCCCTTTAGTGCACGCCCAGGGCCCTAACACAGAGCTGGGCACACAGCAGCCGAGTAGGTGAGGAGCGAGGCTCAGCAGCTGCAGGACCCGCCCACTTCCTTCGCACCGCCCCAGCCAGGGCGCCGCCTCTCCCGTGACGTCACGCGGGGCGGGACTTCCGGCCGCCCAAGTTTAACAGTCCCGGCGGGAGCCGGAAGCTCAGCGAGGCGCGGCTGGAGCGGGGCTGGCCCCAGGCCGGAGAGGTGAGGTTGCCGGGGACGTGGCGGGGCTGCGGGCTGCGGGCTGCGGGCGCCCCGCTCAGGGTCGCGGCGGGGGCCCCGGGGTGGCCGCGCCGCCGGCGGAGAGTGGCCCGGGACGGGGCGGGGCGGCACGGGCTGTCCCGGGCTCCGCGGCCCGGAGAAGGCTGGGAAAGCCAGGGTGCGCGCCTGGGCGCCGCCGCTCCTCTTCCCCGCGGCCGATGACAGGTCCCACAGTGAAGCGGCGGGAGGCGGGGGACACCTACCCGGGCCGGCCGCTCCACTCAGCTTCTGGGACCCGGGGTCCACCCGTGGCACCACGCTACCCGGCCTGCACGTTGTTGTGTGGGGTTAAGGTCGCAACAGGTTGCAGGCGTGTTTCCTGCACTGGCGAGTTGAGCTCTCCCGCGCCTGGGTTTTCCTTGGGCAAGGGGACTAGGGGGCATAGGGTTGGTGCTAAAGTCACTGAATGGAAACCTTGTCTCCAGTTCAACAGGTGACTACACGATTTTAGCAGCACCTGTACCCTCGAAGCACCCAAACACCACTGTGTCTCGAAAGCACAGCAACCACCAGAGTTTTGACCAAAAGTTTTATGCATTCCCTAAACATTATTTTTGTTTACTTAAAACATTTTTTTTTCTTTTTTTCTGGGGCATGAACTGTTTCTACCTTAAGCGTTTTATTTTTGCCCTCTGGAGCCCATTAGAGATAGGTGAGATGCTTTGTCGTTGATATGCGGGCCTGTCTGTGACCACTGTTGGCCTGTGACATGGCGTCCGACCATGCCCAACCCTGTGGTTCAGTCCTCTTGCACCACCTATGCCGAGGGGTTGAGTGTGTCCTTTCCCTTCTGTCCTGTGTATTTTTAAATACACTGTCGTCCCACACCACCTGCTGCTCTTCAGAGTATCCTGAGTATCTGGAGCAGCCTCTTCCAGTTCTCTCTAGCCCACTTTGGCTTTGACTTGTGGTATCACTTTGTTGGAATTATGGGTTGGAGTGAGAGGTTGTGGACCAAGAGTTGTTATTAGGATACGGTGACAACTTCTTTAACCATGTCGCTAATTTTAAAGTTTGAAAAACTTGGGATAATGGGATTGAGGCTTCTAGATTGTGGGTTTTTTTTTTTTTTTTTTTTTTTTTTGTGGCCTACTTATGAGTCAGGAATGTTTAAGTCTCCTATATGAGGAGGCAGACATTGTTATGGGAACAAATAAAACAACAGAAGTTTGATGGAAAACATTGAGTTGGCGGTGGAATATAGCTGGTAAAGGGTTGCTTTCACCACAGTAGGGAACCTACCTTTTAGAGGCAGAGATATTTGAGCTGAGACCTGAATGATAGGGGCATGGTTTAGGGAAATCTGGGAGGAGCTTTCCAGTTGGAGGGAGCAGCAGGTGAAGAGATGCTAAGATGTGGATGACCTTGGCTTGATACACAGATAAGAAGACCACCAGTGTTGAGATCTAGTGACCCCAGACAAGAGAGGTAGTAAATCCGCATGGGCATACCTGTCCTGTAAGGCGGTGTTTGGGATTGTTGGGGTTGCTGGGGTAGACTCTTGGGAGGATGAGCTAAGAGTATGTGATTTGGCTGGTCTTTAGATCACTCTAGTGTGTGGCTATTAGGAATAAAAGTGGACAGAAATGGGCATTTCAGCTTTTAAAAATTGCTTTTCCATAATTGTGTATGTTGTTCTAAACTTTTTGTAGGCTCAGTCATGCAGGAAAACCTCAGATTTGCTTCATCAGGAGATGATATTAAAATATGGGATGCTTCATCTATGACATTGGTGGATAAATTCAACCCCCACACGTCACCACATGGAATCAGTTCATTATGTTGGAGCAGCAATAGTATCCTTTAAAAAAAAAAGTAACAACTTTTTACTAGTCTTCAGTAACCACTAAAACTGTTTTGGTCCATAAAAAGGAAAGTATTTTGTGTCACTACCATAGATTAAAAAAAAAAAAAGATAAAAATATTACGTATGCATGTGCTATTTATTTGCAGCTTACTTCAAGTTTGCTGTGTATTAGTCATTAGTCTTCAGATACAGGTAATGGAGTTCTATTGTGTGCAGTTTCTTACTGAATACATAGAATAAGGAGGGTAATAGAACATGGTGAATTTGAGGATGATTTTATCTCCATTTTGGTATTTGTGAATCTGATCTGGAATTCAGCTTTGGAGCAGATTTGAGATGGAGAGGAGAGTTAATAAAATAACAAACAAACCACAAAAGAACAACAACAACAACAACAAAAAACACAACTGTCCAACATTCGAATCTTCCTGATGGTGTATGCTCTGGTTTCTCTTTTCTATCAGTGATTAAACAGTGCTGTTTTCCAACAGACAAAATGGGTTGAATTTTTCTGTGCTTTCCTGATTGATGTGTATTGGTGAGCTTCTGATTGGTGTACTCCCTTCATTGGTGAGTTTCTGAGCTTTCCTGATTGGTGTGCATTGGTGAGTTTCTGAGCTTTCCTGATTGGTGTACTCTGCGTTGGTGAGCTTCTGAATGGGTATAAGGGAAGCCTGTAAGCTAGAGTTTATCATCCTCACATCATTGACATTTTGGTCTGACTGGGTATCATGGGAGTCTAGGAAACGTTCCTGGCCTCTACTACCCAATCTCTAAATGCTTTTAACTCCCAATTGTGATGACCCAACATGCCTCTAGTTGGTGGATTCATTCACAGCTGAGGACCTCTGCTGTAGATGAAGCACTCTTAGTTTTCTTTGTGTGGAAATACTCCATGTCATTGGTATGCTAGAAATTAATCTTCTGTGAAACACATACTGTTTTGAAACAACTAGTAAGTGTTAAGAATTGTCTGGTTTTCACCAGTATCAAAGTATTAATATTCTTCCTGATGAAAGGAAAACTGACAAAGCTTTAAAATGTGACTGATTTGTGAACAAACGTATTAGGAATTTTTAATCTCAAATGCCTGTTCTTGCACATACATAACAAATGACAACGTTTCTTATTGAATTAAATTTCCCTCTTGATCATCCCTTGTTTTTTGCATTGGTGCAGTGAAACCAATTACTTTGATGCTCTATTAATCACACTTGTGTGAAGGACTCTCCAGCTTGTCTCATGGATACTATTTTAAGGGGAGTGACAAGTGTATGAAGTTGATCCTCTCTATTTTTAGTGTTTAATAGTGTTTATAGTTTCATTGTTTTTCTGGGACTGTGTAAGAAAAGAAACAATTCTTAATAGGTTGCAGTTTTTTTTTTTTTTTCCCCTGCTTAGCTTCTTTTCAGGCAGTGTTACCAAGAGCTGATGTTAATGGCTGAGTGGCAATGAGGGAATGCTGTGTGACTTTGAGAAGCTGGCCCTGTTTCTGTGCAGAGAGCGCCGTGTTAGATGTTCCTTAGTTGTTCTTTCATGCCAGTTATTACTGAAGAACAGAGTTCTAGACTCAGCAACTCAGGGCTTCAGCATGTAAGATCCCACAGCAGGTTTAGTATGGCGTGCCAGAAGTTCATTTCTTTACTCTTTTAGTTTCCTTAGGTGGTGTTCTGTACTTCCCTCATGACTTCTAAAAATATAAGAAAAACTTAGAAACTAGTTTCCCCTCTTCCTGTGTTTCCATTCTTGTGTGCTAAGGGGTGAAATGTGGTAAACAAAGAAGTCAGTGGTTTCCCAATGTGTCACTATGTTGGTAGAAATTATTGTATTTCTCCCAGAAATGATGTACACATATTGTTCTGTAATTGGTAGGAGAACCTCCCCTCAGCACTTCCCAGGAACTGCTCATTTCAAACATGTGCAAATACTTGGAATGTAAAATCCAGCCTGTAGTCGAGTTTGAAGAGAAGGGCATGGGAGACTAGCTCTGTGGATTTTGGCACTGTGCTGAATCATTTGATAGTCCACAAACCAGAGAAATTTGGACTCTGTGTTTATGATGAGCAGTTCATGTTGATAGCAGCTTACCTGTTACCCGAAGACACCATTCTTAGGGTAGAAGGTGACACTCCATCCTTGAGTCCAGGGGAGACTTCATTCTTGGGGTAGAAGGTGACTCTCCATCCTTGAGTCCAGTGGAATTCAGAATAGATGAGATTTGCTGGGCGTGTAGTAGTTCGGTTGCTAGAGGTTTGCCTAGCATGAATGAAGCCCTGGGTTTGATTTTAAGCATCACATTAAGCAGGCATGGTGGTACATGCCTGTAATCTTAGCGTTTGGGAGGTGGAGGCAGGAGGATCACAAACTCAAGGTCATTCTAGGCTACAAAATGAGTTTTGAATCCAGCCTAAGATATTTGAGTCTCATGACAACAACAGAAATTTGTTTCAATCCATGATGTATTATCAAAAATCTGAATAGTATGTACTCTGTCCATAATAATATAGTAAAGATTATCTAGATGTTTCTATTGCTTCCATGCATAGACTTTACTTCCTGAAAGTTTAAAATTCCTGTATTTTGGAGACAGCAAGATGGCTCAGGGTGTGAGGATGCTTCTTACTGAACCTGATGAGCTGAATTCATTGAGCCCAGTTGGTGGAAGGAGAGAATGACCCCCATTTCCGGAATGTGGTGTGTGTGTGTGTGTCTCTCTGTGTGTGTGTGTGTGTGTGTGTGTGTGTGTGTGTGTGTGTGTTTCATACATTGCGGTACATACACATAAACTTAAGAGAATTTACATATCTTACATGCTATGATTTTCAAAATCAGTCTATTCTTGATTAAATCATTTTGGTTTAAAATACTTACATTGTTTACTTATTACTCGTGTATAAATTATAGAGTAAGGCAATTAATATTTTAAGATTAAGGTAAAGTTTAAATTTGCATAACATAAGCAATTTCTATTTAACCACACTCATTTGTGTGTACTGTACTCTATAATGCTCAGTATTAATGTATTCACAGTTGAAGCATCTTTGACAGTGATTCTAGTCCCGAGAAAACAGCAGCCTTCATTTTTCTGTTGGAAGAAGTCAGAGTGTGGTGTGGATACTAGCTGTCTAACTAAAGTTGGTACTGGGCACTGGGTTAAGAAATAAGGCCCCTGGACAGATTTTGTACATGGCAGAGCTGGTTATTACTTGGGAGTGCTGCTTTTCTTGTGTTCTCACTTCTGAAAGGACAAAATTAGACCTTCTGGCCCACCCTGGGAAGGGTTAGGGTTTCATAAGGGCTAAGTAGCTTTCAAATGATAGATAGCCAGAAGGGATGCTTCTCCCTGCCTTCCTGAAAGAGAATTAGTAATTAGTAACGGGAACCATTTTAAAAGCTGTGGGTCAGCTCTATTTGTGTCTGTGTCTTGGTGTTGGCTTACATGGCTGCGTTCTGTGACCATAGTTGGATGCTGTGGGTGTCCACGGACTGTTTGATGCTTCCTAACTCTTCATTTAGATAACTTCCTAGTGACAGCATCTTCCAGTGGTGACAAAATAGTGGTGTCAAGTTGCAAATGCAAACCCGTTCCGCTTTTGGAGCTTGCTGAAGGGGTAAGTTGTTTGCTTTTTTTAACCATTTAAAATCTCATTGTTGCTTAAGTGACAGGGACTTATTTGCCCTGTTTCTTTAAACACTACAGTGACAGGTGGGGTGCATATACTTATTGGAAGCTGTTAGCTGAGATTATATTGAGTCCTAGGAGAGCAGTTGAGGCCCTAGTCTTAGTTTCTTTTCTTGCTGCTATGTGACTTAGGTCATTAGGCTGACCTGACTGAGTGGACCCACATGATGGAACTGCACTGCTGACTGGGTGCAGCATCATCAACAACAGACTAGTTCTGAAGGCATCCTTCCACTGTAGATGCTGACCACTCAGGACTCGGGCCTGCCGGCCTTTTTAAGCACCTGTAACAGATGAAGTTTTTAGTGAGTCCTGGCCCCTTTGGCACACAGAGAATATCCTCTTGTTTAAGTTCATTCAGGAGAACACTGGTTTCTTCATTTCCATTCACACATGCACATAAGCTACTCTTCAAAGGGAATAACCTCCAAACAAAAAGGTGTGGCTTGTTCTTACTGGGGCATCCTCTCTGTTTTTCTTTTCAGCTTAAACCTCACTTGCAGCCCAGGTGAGAAGCTTGGATAGAGAGAATGTCTTAAGGGTGAATGGAGTTGGAGGCAGGTGGAGCTAAGTAAGGTTGAAGAGGAGAGTGCCCCCGGTCAGTGGGCAGACTGCCCTCTTCAGATAGGAGTTACAGCAATCCTGGGGTCTTTGGGTCCTTTCAAAAGTGACCACCAAGCTGCTGTTGAATTTAATGTTGAAGCCAAATCAGTCCCTCTGCCCTTCACAACTGGGCGCTTTTTCATGCACTGTGTTTTACAATCAGTGTTAAGCACCTCTGCCCTGCCCTTACCCCTCCTTTGGTTCTGTTTGTTTATTTGTTTATTTAAGGCAGAGTCTCTGTGTACTCCTGGCTGTCTGGGACTTGCTATTTAATTAGACCAGGCTGGCCTTGAAGTTGTAGAGATCCATCTGCCTTTGCTGCCTTAGTGTTTGGAATACTAGGATGCTCTCTAGTCTTGCCACTTAAAAAAAAAAGAGTATACTTTGTACTTTTATACTTCACATTCTATTTTATGTTTTGATACTTTAACAAATGATGTATACAGATGTGACTCATTTGAGGACTTGGTGAATATTCCATTTGTGCAGTTTTAGCCCTCCCCACTTCAAGATATTACATTATGAAGCAGACAGACAAATGAGTTCATTAGAATTCCAATTTTGAATGTATTATAGTTATAAACATTTTTGCAAATAGTGATTGTGTACCCTTTATTAGGAATTTCTAGTAAGATATCTGATCATTATTTTGGTTGGGTCCAAGCCGTGTTAACTTACATGCTACTCAAGTTCTCAGGCTTTTCTACTTGGGGAAAGAGATTTCCACCCTACTTATTATAAATTATTTTAGAATGAAATTTAACTTCTTGATTTTGTTTTTAATTTTATGTATTTTCTCTTTGAAGTGGACAGATTGGTATTAGCAGTACTATAATGGCTTTGATGAGTTACAAAATAACTTTGAAATTTAAGATTTAAAAAATTCTGTCTGTTGGTTCTTATGATACCATAAAATTTCTACTATTTAAGTTCATTAGATACATTAGTAATGCATTAACATAAGGAGATCTTCCTTTTATCAACAAGTTAAGCCTGTGTTAAGTATAGGTTTTGTCTTGATATGTTAACAATTGTTCTGTGATAGCTGGCATCCCAATATACCAGCTTTTGGTGGACACCATTCTTACCTGTTTCTTTTAAAAGTTATTTTAATGGTTATTAGAAAACCGGTTTGCAGTGCAAGTAGATTCTAAAGTAAATGTTACCGATCCCTTCAGACATATTCATTCTTAGGATGGTGCCTACAGGAACATTGTTACTAGAGTTAGAACACTGACATGGTGTGTGTCTTGCCTTTTATTATGTGTGTTAGTTGATACTGTTGTTCAGCATCCAGTGGGGGTGTGGAAAGGGACAATCTCTTAAGAGTGTTTGGAGCACAGACTGTTCTGGGGATACCTGACTCTCAGAACAGAACAGTTGATCTAGAACTCATCTCTGAAATGTGAGGTGATTTGCCCAAGCCTGCACAGCCTGCCATTTGAAGTCATGAAGTCTTTTCTTTGGACTTTATTTCTCCTTTTTTGTGTTTTTGTATTTGATGACCCAGACAGATATGGCTCTGACAGCAGGCTGATGGATTTGGGCTTTTTTTTTTCTAGGATGTGCTTGTGAGCCTCTGAAAATCTTTATTCCCAGCTTTGGCTAGCTTTTTAAATAATTTTTTTGTTCACCATATTTATGGGGTATGGGCTTTTGGGAAGCAGGAGTGGATTTTATTATAGGATTGGAATTTATAGACCTTGTTGATGGGTTAGGACCAAGGTGACAAGGAATTGAGAGCTTTTTAGCAACTTAACCTTGATAGTCTGAGCCCAGGAAAGATGTGAGGCTAGGTTATTTTGTTTAAGTTTATTCATGTGTTTGTATTTGGTGGTAGATTTCCGTGAATGTCACTGTTGTTCAGAAAATGCTCAGCTATTGAGCCACTCCACTAGCCCCTAAGGTCTGGGTTTGCTGAGATACTTAAGACTCCTTGAGGGTGAGAGTTGCTGGGAGACTTGGGGCATGTATCTTGACCTGTTTAAAAACCTTTGCTCATCTGTAAAATGGGGATCTAAGGTAGATTGTCTGTCTGTCTGTCTATCATCCATCCATCCATCCATCCATCCATCTGGATTTTCAAGGCAGGGTTTCTCTATGTAGTCTTCACTGTTCTGGAGCTCACTATGTAGACCAGTCTGTCCTTGAACTCAGGATCTGCCTGCTTGTCTCCAGAGTGCTGGTATTAAAGGTGTGTATCACCACTGCCCGGCTTAGAAAATATTTAAAGGTCTTATGTTTCGCATTTTGTGAGTGAAGATTAATTTTAAGATGTTGTATAGCGATCCCAGAGTAGGTCTAAGCAAGAGAAGATAGTGAGTGCATGCTTGGTGGGAGGCCCAAGGTTCACTGCTGGTTCTTAGGCTTCCTCTCACCCCTCCAGCAAAGAACACCACCAGGCCTTGATTTCCTTGACATTTTAAGATGAGTATGCAGTTGGATTCCTATGAAGGATGATAAGAAGCAAAAATTTTAGTTGCAAGTATCAGCATCTTTTTGCTTGTAATTCAGCAGTTTCATTGTTCTGCTTACTGTGTTGGGTGAGACTGCATCATCTCTGAGTCCCGCTAAGCTAATATTGTTTGTTGGTTTGTTTGTTTAACTAGCAAAAGCAGACATGTGTCGATTTAAATTCTACATCAATGTATCTGGCAAGTGGAGGCCTAAATAACACTGTTAATATTTGGGATTTAAAATCAAAACGAGTTCATCGGTCTCTTAAGGTAAGTAAATATATTTTAAATATTTATAGAATGAGCATCTCACATTCTGTTTGAATTGGTTACCAAACTTTGCCTTCATAATGAAATGCTTTATAATTGAAAGGAGACTTATTGGGAAAAATACAAGTGCTGTCTAGCTGAAGCTTTCCTCATAAAACGTGTTGACATGTTGCCTTTTCCTTATTTATATTTTTCCCCCAGGTATTCACATATTTCTCCTATTTTGAATGAACTACTTCCTTGGGTTTTTCTTCTTCAGAGGGTAGTTTTGTCACCAGGTTTTTTGTTTTGTTTTGAGGGTTTTGGGAAAGTGTGTGTGGCTCTGGAGTTCAGTAACTAAAAATGAGGGTTCAGCCTTTTAGTTCAGGAGTGTTTGTGGCTGCTACTGCTGATGTTATTTTTGCTTGTATATCTTCAAACTTGGTAATGAAATAGTTCTTAAAATAATCCTCTATCTAAAATTCGTGTTCCCTTAGGTAGTTCTTTGTAGGTTCAGAAAATAAGCATTCATCTTAGGAAGGGCTGTGGTTAAGATTTTATTAACTCTTCTTTTTTGCTTTTTTAATATTTAAAAGGGAAACTACAAAGTTATTTTTGAGTTTGACATTTAAAAATATTTAATACGGAGATTGTAAGTAGCTGTATATCCATGCTCCCCTGCATACACAGAGAAGAACTTCCTTTATCTGTTACCATGTGGCAGTAATGTTTTACCCACTCTGCTGTCATTCCATCTCCAGACTGTTTTGTGATAAATACCAGAAATTTCCCTGAATATTTTGAAGGTTATTGTTTTAAGTGTAGCTAGACCTTGAAGACTCTTTAAACTTAGCTATGGAGAAAGACAGGTAATTGAGTTGCTGCTGCTAATGAAATAGTTAGCTTTGGTCCAGTTCCTTAATATACAAGCTGTTGTGCTTGCAAATGCTTCCTCTGTTTATTTCAGTAACTGCAGAGCAGCACACATTATTCTCATGTGCAGATGGAGAAGCTGAGTCAGATGTTAATGACCTGGTTCTTTGTCAGCTTCAGAGTGGTCTGTGCAAGTGCAGACCCTGCTGTCTGTTTAGTATTCCATTGTGCACTGTTTGAGTTGACACTGCTTAGAGGGATGTACTTATTCTGAATAGGGGGTGTCTTAGAGAGCTCAGGAGAGGAGAGTCTTTGTCAGTTCTCTGACATTTGGTTGGTGCATAGTAGATGTTTCCTGATGATGTATTTTCCACAACTGGAATTAGGAAGACACCTGCTCCTTTACAAAGTGGCAGACTCTATTGGGTGACACACACTTAGTTCCCTGTGACAACAATGTACAAAATGTTGCTTTTTTTTTTTTCCACCTTCAGGCACTTCTTCTTTAATAGACTAAAGGGGATGTTTGAAGGATCTTTTGACAAAGTTGTATTGTAAATATGATGTAATGGCTACATTAGCAGTGATAGTCCATTAGTTATTTTGTATCAAATTTAGTATAATTAACTTAGTAAATAACAAGAACACTGTATTGTTAAAAAGTAAAACAAAATCCCTGGCTTTTAACTCAGGTCAGTGTTACATGTTCCTGCTAATGTATCCTGATTTGATGTTTGGAAGAACTCTTTCTTCAAAGTCTTGGTCTTTTCATTCCCCCAAAGCAGATACTGTTGGCATTTGAGAGGCAGTCTGCTGTGTTGGGAGGGCCAAGGGCTTTGGATTTTCTTGGAGATGATACTAACTAGTCTGTTTCTTAACACATGTGTGAGATGGCACCAGCTTCCTAAGCTTTGTTGTGTCATGTGCCTCATTTGTAAGTGTGGAAGATGACAGTGCCCCTAGGATTTTTAGAGATTGACTAGTTAATGTGTGAAACCCCAGCAGAGAAGGTGCTCAGCCAGTGGGAGCGGATGCTGTCTGGTGTCTGAGATACTTCTTTGCTTTTCTCCTACTTTCCCTATAACTTACCTTTTCTTTTGTTTATTTGCTTGTTGGTCATTTGAGATAAGATCTTGCTATGTAGCTCAGGCTAGCCCATAAATCTATGTAGTACAAGCTAGTGTTAGTGTGAGGACTACAAGTGTGGCCTGCCGCTCCCCACTCTGTCCTCTCTTTAAGGTTAGACTCAATTTTATGCCCATGCTTCTGTCCAGTTTTAGCCTCTCAGTCAGTTCATTTGACTGTGTTTAGCATGTGTTCTGTCATGTTGGTGCTGATTTCAGTGTCCAGTTGAACAATAATACTGAAGGCCAAACGTTTAACTTGAAATAAATGTTATCAATGGAAGTCAATTCTCCAAGGTAGATGTTAAGTAAGTTATCCTTCTAGAATGTTTGTTGTCTCAGAGTCTGTGGACATGTGATACGGCTCTGAAAAACTGTCTTCAGTGGAGGCTCCATGTTGACCCTTGGTTTCCTAATCCGCTCAGTAGTGAGTGTTGTTTTTGGAAGGGAAATGTTAGCACAGCTGTTGATTGACAGCCATGCTCTTTCCTGTTCATCCAAGGATGGGGTTAATGGCTGCTGTTCTTGTATTTGTTTCTTTCAGGATCATAGAGGTGAAGTAACTTGTGTGGCATACAATTGGAATGATTGCTACATTGCTTCTGGGTCTCTCAGTGGTGAGATTATTTTGCACAGCGTAACCACTAATACATCCAGTGCACCATTTGGCCATGGGAGTAATCAGGTACAGTAAGGTTTTTTTTTTTTAACCTCCAAAATAAAGATGATAAATTATATTTTGAATTACTTTACCTAAGAAAATAGGTTTAAATTCTATGACATTTAAAATTTTTATTTAGATTGTTTGAAAATGTATAGCTAATTTTTATGATAGTGCTTGAAAAAGATAAAGTAAGCTAATACACTCTAGAGTGCTTGTATGAATTTACTTATATTCTTAAATATTTGATCTTTTCTATACTATAACTGTGTTTTTAACAAATGCAACTGTTTGCTAATAATACAATCCTAAAATAGGATTTTAATCTTTCCATGGCATTTCTGTTACAGAAGTATTTTGTAATTCAAACTAGTGGCTGTAAAGACAGATACACACTTCATACTGTTCTGTGAACAGGGCATTATTGTATTTAGAAAGAGTCTAGTACATTTTGGGAAAAAAAAGTTTTTTTAAGCATGTGGTAGTTAAAAGAATCAAAGCTTACTCATACATTTCAGGTTGGTACAGAAATCTTTAGGGAAACTTTAAAAACAATTAGTCAATTAGGTATTTTTCTTGATCAAAAAATAGTTTAATTTTTTTCTTAAAAGAATGAGAAATGTCTAAATAAATCAGTTCATTGACTTAACAATTTCTAGAGATGTTTTCAGTAAGGTGGATCTTTTAGATGGATATGTGTAGTCTCAGAGGAATGAGGTAGGTACCGGTATGAACACCTTGTCCCATTAGGCTTTTTATTCTCACCACTTTGGCCACAACTAGTATTAGATAAAGAACAAGAGTTTTTTTAAATTATTATTTTAATGATATATGCTATTTAAGGGAAATTTAAAGGGTGCTCAGTTGGACAGACAAGTAGTGCCTGTTGAGGCTCACGTGTATAAGGGGTAAAGGAGCTGTACACACAAGTTGTGAGTGAGGTGAGTGGCTTGGAATAGTGACAGGCCTCTAGTTGCTGCAAGCTGACTTGTTAGGGCTAGCTCTCCACATGTACATGTTATAGTGGGGACCACAGCTTACTAGCTCTCCACATGTATACGTTATAGTGGGGACCACAGCTTTGTGTCAGACATGGAAGAGGCACCCAATAAAGGTGTGAGTGTATGAACGTATTTAGAAATTACTGAGCCGTTAAGAGCGTGTCTAGAACTCTGGGGAGAGAGTGTCTCATGTGGAGGGAATGACACGAGGGCCAATGGGGAAGGGACGTGGATTTGATAGAGAGAGGCATGAGAACAGACCGTGAGGTGAGTGGGTACAGCGTTGTCAGGACACTGGGTACCTGTGTGACATTTGACTCTGTTCTTGGTGACATTTAAACTCCTGGGTGCAAGAATTACAATTGCTGAACAACAGAACCCTTTAGGAATAACAGTGTTTTCTAGGTTTATGGATGAGACTTAATGGTTTTAGTTTTCACAGATAGGTTCTTTAGAATATTAATCTTGTGAACAGAAACTATGTTTTATCTCTGTGTTTTCTCTTTATTTGCATTTTGATATTATAAAGCCTAAGCCATACTGTGGAACCATTTTAAACAATAATACCTTGGTTAAATTTATATCCTTATAAGGAAGCAAAGTAATGTGTTTTTTTCTGTTGTATTTTGTATTAGGGGCATAGCATATTCATAAACTTCAGCCTGGATTTCTATATACAAATTAGATATGGCCCTGTGTATTCTCATACTTTTGCTGTCTGTATTTTGCTAGCATCTTATTGCCAGCATAGAGGACTTGCCACTGTTTACTGTTTCACACCTACTGGTCACGTGTTACATTGCATTCTCCTCATCTAGGCGAAGCTACTAGTTAGTGCATTTTTTCAGTTACAGTTGAGGAAAGTGTGATTCCAGGGCTTTCAGTTCACAGAAAGAACTAATTGAAGGGTCAGCTGCTTTAGGAACCTTATTTCCTCTTGGCTCACTTTCTAGCTTCGTGTAAGTTGTGATTATTTGAGATGGAGTATCTGAAGCTTCGGGGTACAGTTGCAAGATATATTAATTTAAGAACATGGCAGTAGTAGGTTCTCTAGTATCTGTGACTCCTCCAGCCATGGTTTCTTAGCTAAGTTTACAGTATTAGGCATGAATAGCCTCCTACTGAATTAAACAACTGTTGGTTTACTCCAGATAGAAGTGCCACTATCCCCTCTTGTAGTGTGCTGCTCGGCCGGTGATTATTGCGGTTCACGGGCTTTACGGCTGGGTGGGACTGTTGGTAACTTTGCTTCCTTGGTGCCTTGCATGCCACCTTCCAGTACTGTGGGAGTTAGACTTCAGGGAAGAGCCTTCCAGGTCAGCACCAGCTTGATTCCTCAAGTGCCATGACAAAAATATGTGCTGTGTTCAGCAACAGATCCTTACCTTCAAGTTGTAGAAGGCAATCCAAGGCAATGGTGCTAGCCTATAATCGTTTTGGGGGTCTTTTGGATTTCTTTGACCAATGATCAAAAGGAAGTTTTTCATGCTTAGTACTGAGGTTTTTGTTTAGATGCTACGACCCTTTAACCCAGTGGTGACCCCCAACCATAACGTTATTTTCATTGCTAGTTCATAACTGTGATTTTGCTACTGTAATGAGTCATAATGGAAATAGTGGATTTTGATCATCTTGGGCAACACCTGTGAAAGGGCTGTTCATTCCCAAAGGGGTTGTGACCCACAGATTGAGACCTACTGGGCTGTAGCTCTTGGGGGAAGCGTTATTATCTCAAGTGGCCTAACTTCATTTGGGGTGTGTGTGCATACATACACATATATGTGATTTTAGGTAAACATAATATGATTTGCTTTATTGTTTTCAAACATCTTCAGTGTTATTCAACCCCTTGCCTCCTCCTTCCCAGTTAAGGCCCTCCACTTCATTTTTTCCCTTTCTCTCTTCAAAGCTTGGGGGTCCTACTATCTACCCCCACCCCCGTGTAGATAGAGCTCCTCACCCCTCCCCTCTGGCCACAACTAGTGGCAGGTAAAACACTAGAGGTCTTCAGGTGTGTAGTGATGATCAAATGTTTATTCATACCCCTTTCTCACATGAAAAGAAAACCCTTAAAATCTTAGGTGATGGATTGCTGCAATGGTAAGTGTTAGGAATTTTTAGTCAATTAATTTTTATCAGAAAACCTGAATTAAGTGTGTCTTGTAGTTTAGGAAACCAGGAGTGGATAATGCTTGTCTGCATGCTAGCCCAGACCAGTCAGAGCCTGCACTCTTCCTGGACATGCTGCCTCCTCAGGCAGCGTGCCTCTGCGGGCGCTTCAGTGGGCTTTGGGTTTACTTGGCAGCACTAGGGTAAGAGATGAGCGAGCACTAGCTGCTGTAGGAGCTTTTAATGAATCATTATATGAAGACATTAAAACCACTTCTGTGACTCATCACCTCAGCCTGGTCCTGAGTTTGTGTGCTTCTTTTACACCCTGCTAGTTTACTAGTTGTAATTTGTCCTCTGGAGTCATATTTTGTGTTTAAGACTATTTTTCTGACAAGCCTCCCCCCCCAGAGGCAGAGCTTTAGGTTGTCAGTGGCTGCTGTTTTCTTCAGAAAGGAGACCCCTTGGAGGTACCTAAATGGGCAGCCTTAAATACATGTGTGTATGGGAAACACAAAGTAGACTCAGTAGGGTAATGTATGCGTGTGCATGTGCAGCAGTAAGAAGGTAAAGAAAAAACTAGAGTGCATTTCCCCCCTGCCAGGCATAAAGGTGTGTGTGTGTGTGTGTGTGTGTGTGTGTGTGTGTGTGTGTGTGTGTGTGCTGTATTATCTCTTATTCTTCAATAAGCTATTCCATTAAGAGAAAAAGTCATAGGCAAGAAAATAGAAGTTGACTTCTTTATATGTGAAGATCAGTTCTAGATCTCTTAGAAAACTCATTGTAATGATTCTGCACACTCAAGTTTTACGTAACATTGGAATATTTGAAGGCATTTTTACATTGGTCCTTTCCCTACAATTTATTTGCAGTAAATCTATTATCCCTAGAAGCATACAATTGCTACTTTAGCATCCATTAAAATGTTCTCTTTTAAGATTTCTTAGAATTCACTTGAGATTTCAAATATATTAAATATTCATTTAAAAAATTCAAGCAGTATATAAGCTCGCAAGTGTGTCATAAGTTGACATTTTAAAATTCAAATATACTGTTGTTCAGGTCAGTTTTGTGTTGGTTGATTTTATTGTATCTAGTGGATTATTGAGAAAAAGTCATAGACAAGACACAGGACATAGCCATGACTAAACTGAAAACTTTATTTTTGTTTCTATAAACAATCCAGGATTTGAAGGTATAATAATCACCAAATTGGCTTAGAGAGAGTGACAAATCCTTGGCATCTCACTGAATCTACATCAGGCTGAAATTTATCAGAAATGAGATTGCCTGAATATATTTAGGGTCTTACTTTGAGATGTCGGAGCTGAATTGAAGCTATTAGTTTTATGTGGAGCAATGTCTTTCTCCAAGGGAAAAGAAATGTATTGCTTCTGCAAAGATGCTGGCTGACGGCTTCTGAAGCTATAATTGCATGTCAGCGCTGGGCACATTCTACAGCTTGGGCTCCGTGAGAGTTTAACCCGTGTTGCCTTTTCCCAAGCAGTTAAAAATGTGGATCTATTTTATTGATGCCTTAGATTAAAAAGGGAATTTTAGGTAAAGCAAATGAGATTTAAAAATATGTATCACAGTACATGCTTTAACCCACTTGTTTCCCTTAAATAAATATTTTATGTGTAGATTTTGTAAGTATTAATAAGCCTCCTTGAGTACAGAGATATAACTGCAAGTAATTATTAGTTGCCTTTTAAAATTGTAATTATTTTGTAAAGAATAAGCTTAGGGCTGGTATATAGTTCAGTTAGAAACCCCAAGAGGAGCCAGCCGGGTATTGGTGGCACACACCTTTAATCCCAGCACTCGGGAGGCAGAGGCAGGGGGATCTCTGGGTTTGAGGCACCTGGTCTGTAGAGCGAGTTCCAGGTCAGGCTCCAAAGCAATACAGAGAAA